GGACATAGATGTGAAATCTGGGAAGACGTGGAGAGAAGTAACTATGGACAGGAAAGGTGGCAATAATCTCAGCTAACTGAAGAAAAATGAGCCAATTAAAAAAAAAAAAAATTTACTTTTTTAACAAGTAGGGAGGCATTACTTTCACAACCATCAAAAACAGGATATCTAGTATGGTTGACATTGTTCTTTAAAATAATATTTAAAGTTGTGATTATGATACTAATATGATGACACTTGTAATGGCCACTCTGTTGGGGAATTGATAGCAGACAGTGGATCTCCATATTCCCACTAATCATCTTTTCCAGTTTGTCTTAGGTGTAACTCAACATCCTGGTGTCTATTTGAACACTCTTCGCAAAGTACATTTTGGATAGGTTCTCTTCCACATGCATTGTCGGATTTCACTTTAGTATTTGCCTAGTGATGCTTGTTTACTATTATTGCAAAGTCTGCCCTGTCAAAATCAACCTTCTCAATTTAATTGCATTATTTACTGGAAAAAGGCTGATGTCTCAGAATATGTTTTGCCTGCAAATTTATAAACTTTTTCTGAAGGAGCTGAAAAAAAATGTAATTTTTCACATACTCAATTGGTAGTAAGATAAGGGACTTGAATGTTACCAAGAAGTATTCTCCTATATTTTTGGGCTAACTATATAAAATAATAAAATACTCCTACATAATTATAAATGAACTAGATAAATACATTCATCTATACATTTCAGGTCATAGGTGTTCCTGATGCCAGGCTGGGTGAGCAAGTTTGTGCATGGATTATTGTTAAAAGTGGAATGACATTAACAGTTGAAGAAGTGAAAGAGTTTTGCAAAGATAAGGTGAGTGAATTGTTTCTTTCTTTCTCTTCATTCATCTCTTTCTTTTAAAGATATTTGACTGGATTGATATACACTTATTGTTTAATGAAACATTTTTGTTTGATTTTAATTTCAGATGGCAAGATACAAAATTCCCCATTACATTTTATTTGTCGATGACTTTCCTAAAACTGTGACTGGTAAAATTCAGAAGTTCATCATGCGAGAAGAAAGTATTAAGATCCTAGGTTTACCTGGCAAGTTATAACAGGCTGTGGACAATTGGATGTTGTATTATTTAAATGAGTATTTCACATTACATTGGCACAAAATTGGGAAGAATAGCTATTAGCTTTAAAAATATTTAAACAGATTGTAAAAAATAATGATAGTATAGCTAGTTAATTGAAACGCTCAGAGGGTTAAGATAGTTAAGTGTCATTTCTAATTTCATACTTAAAAAATAATTAAAAGAATATTAAATGTATTGGAGATTTTCATTCATGGTGGAAAAAATCATAAATAGGATAGCATATTGGTGTATATGGTGTACAAAATCAAGAAAATGTTGATTGGCTTTGTTTTTTAAAAGGTATAGGGTAATTTTTGTGCACCACAGAATCAAATGTTCTAAGCTCTTCTGTTTGTAGCACCAAATAATTTCAATATGGAGGAAGCATCAGACTTTCACTCTAGGACTTAAAACTTATTTCAAAACAGATGGGCAACTAACAGTAATAGAGACAATTTGATACAAAGATCAACTGCCACTCTTTGAGCTATTGTTAAAATTATATCTCAATCCTTGTTTTTTTTTTTAGTTGGCAACAGAGACATTCGATTTAGCATCCTTGACATTGTTTGGTTTTGCAAAAACCTCCATCAAGTTTATTTTGGCTCAAACATTTGGAGATTTAAAAAAAAAAAATTTAACTAGATGTGACTTAATCTGTTATTGTTCTTTATGTACTCAGTTTTTTTTTCTAACAATATACACATTAAAAACAAAAGACTTTAGCACAAAATCAATTTATTATATTTTTCTGAACCAAAGATGTAGCTAAATCATAAAATAAAATAATGTTATAGAAAGATTTATCCATCAGCTGTATTAACCATCATATATGCTAGCTTTTTACGGTTTGAATTTTGTGTAGTAGAAGAATGGTATGTTCTATATCACTCCCATTTGTGGGAGGCTCACTAAAGAGAATAAAGCTAATGCTATAATAATATCAGTTCCTTGCACCATCTCTTTGTCTATAGGCACATTTCTTCTTCTAGCCAGCTTTTTGCTACTGAACTGTAGACTTTTTTTTTTACTGTGTGCCAAGGAAAACTAGCTTGCAGTTTTTTTTTTTTTTAGTAAGTGACACATTTACACTTGGTACTTGGTGTGGATAATTGCATTACTTCAGAAACAAAAGTCAGATTATTTGCAAACGATTGCATAATATATAGAACAATAAAAACAACACAAGATACAAATATTTTACAAAGAGAATTAGATGAATCACAGAAATGGGAATCAAATTGGAGCATGTCTTTCCACCCAGAAAAATGTCAGTTGTTAAGAGTAACAAAAAAACTAAAACAAATTAATTCCACTTATCTTATTCATGGCAAACCAGTAACACAGACTAAAAACGCAAAATACCTAGGTGTTATAATAAATGAAAAACTGTCATGGAATCCACATATTGATGAAACTACAAAAAAATCAAAGCATTAGGATTTATTAAAAGAAATTTCTATAAATCAAATAAGAACATAAAACTAAAATGTTATTTAACCTTGGTTAGGCCAATAATAGAATATGCATCCTCCATTTGGGCCCCTCAACTCAAGAAAACATTAAGAAACTGGAACAGGCAAAATAGAGCAGTGAGATTCATAACAAATGAATATTCACATTTGACTAGAGTAACACCTATTGTAAAATCACTAAATTTAGAAAGCCTTCAGGACAGAAGACTCAAAAGTAAAGTAGCAATTATACATAAAACACTGAACCATAACCTTCAAATACAAAATTTAATAAAATACTCTGAAAGACACAAAGATAAAGGCACATTCCTCGTCCCATATGCTAGGACAAATTTGTACAAATACTCGTTCTTCCCTAGTGCTATTAGAGCATGGAATGGGTTGCCTGAGCTAGCCAGGAAAACCAGTGACTTGGCAGAATTTAAGTCATTGGTTAATATGCATGACTAAATGCATGACGCGTAGGACGTAATCATCTTCTTTTTTGAAGTAATGTCTGTATTATATAAGATAAGATAAGAATTGGGTATTTTTTTAATTAATAAGAACATTTTTCATTTAAGATAATATTTTATTTCATGCATTGCTGCAATTGGAAAAATACAAATACAGAAGGTTTTACAAATACTTAGACTGTATTTTAGGTTGATTAGCCAGATTCTGCCCCGTCTCAAGACGAAACCAAAACCAGTGATTCATCTGGGCGCATCCATTGCCTTCTGAGACAAAAAGGAGCCATATCTCTCTCTCTCTATATATATATTTTAGGTGGAGCTAAGAATTAAGCCTGTACCTTTGTTTGGGTTTATCTTTGTTGATTCAAATACTGTATTTTATGTAATTATTTAATTTGACTTTAATGTGAAGTTAATGAAACTCATTGTGATTTAGTTTAGATAATAAGCAGCATGAGGAAACTTTATAAAACAAAACATTCAACCATTGGATGGCTCATGGCTATCTGGTCATGTGGTATGTCCATTAGACTGCATCTTAATGGTCCCAGGGTCAAACCCTACCCACCACCATCCCTTGTAGCCCTGAAGAAGATTTTTGTTTGGATGCAATAATTCTCATGGAATATCTGAAACATATGAAACAAAAACAATTTAATGTCTTATTTACTTAAGTCATTAAATGATATATTTCAATACCAATGTGGCCATACGAAGACAAATATTTAAATGTAAATGAAAAGAGGACAACATAATTTCTTACAGTCCTGTGCTGTAAGTTACAGTACTTTAAGTCTTAGTTATTGATTTGATTTTGTATACTTTTTAAAATCAAGATATAATGTTTCATTTTTTGAGAAGGCAAATAACTGTGTCATTCAACATCTTGTTATTGTGTGTGCAATTATTTGTTTTTATATACTGGTACTTATATATTTATTAATAAATATTGAGATTTATTTAATTTAACTTACAATAAATAAATATGAAAATAGAAAATTTTTTAAAGTTTTGAAATTGCTCAAAATATTGTCATTAAAAGTAAAATTCATGCTAATTTAATGTTTCATAGCAATGTGGCAGCTAACTCTAGGATCTGGATCTCACCTGAGCTAGCTTATATATTTGGAGGTGACTATGTTCAATTCTTTTTTCTTTGAAACTTTAGTTGATGCTGGACATCAGTGAAAGATATTTTCAGCTTCATTAATAGATCTACTTCTTTTTTGAAATAGTTAAAGGTGTTACTCCAAAAACATTTTAGCCTAAAAATGTTGATATTTTTGTATTATTGATATTGTTATTATTGTTGTTATTATTATTATTATGAAGATTATATTATTCAAAATGAAATTGATATGCTGAGTTAATCTGTTACAGGCCAACGTTTTAATCTCTCACATATTAATGATATTAATAAGTCTCTAGCAGTTATGTGTCATGTACTTTGTTCAAGATGTAAGCAGTAACTTGAATGCTTTATACTTCATGTTTCCTGTGCCATAGTTGTTGATCTTTTACTGTTTCAATAGAAGACATTTTTTTATAACTTTGTTGTTGACGATTAAGTTTTTCTTTCTAAAATTGTGGCTGAGAAGCTGAAACCTCTTGGCCACCTATCAAATGGGCTCAAGTTCAATACTGGATTCGGTAAAGTTGATGTTGAAACTCTTAAGCCAGTGTTTCCCAAACTGTGTTCAGCGGAAACCTTGTGTTCCACGAGGAGGCCTGAATAGGTGTTCCATGAATTACTGGAATAATTAACTAGTAGGTCACCACATCAATTAATCTCTCTAAAACTAAGCAAAGTGTTCCACTAGATACTCAGAATGTGCGAAATGTTTCGTGAAAGAAAAAGTTTGGGAACCACTGCTCTAAGCCATCATGAGAGGAGCAAGATCTCCTTTCACCAGCCTGGCTGAACAGATCGTTCTGTTTGGAAGAGCTCCTTTCACCAGCCTGGCTGAACAGATCGTTCTGTCTGGAAGAGATCCAGGTTGGTGTTTATAAATCACACCACTATTTCCATCCAGTGATTTGTAAGCTGTGGGGCCTTCTTTCTTCTCATTAAAGGCAGTACGGAAACGTCACAGGTACCCCCCTTCCCCCAAACTGATCCACAAAAGAGATTGGACTATAGCGCTCTGAATATGCTATAAGCATGAACAAGTTGTGCTATGCAAAATGAATAATTAAAATGAATGAGTAATCATCTATTCTTTATCGTTTTATTGCAATAAGCCTTAGAAATAAATATTTTTAAATGAATGATAAAATGTTCATAAACGTGTAACATCAAATGTGTAATTTTAAATGAAGTTGTTAATTCCTAAAAACTTGTACAAAATATATCGTATACTACTATAGTCTTTTGTGTAATTATTTAGGCCCACATGTATTTAATAAAATACTTTGATATAAAATATCTTTTAATCGCTTTTACATTATTCCGTTATATATTTTTGACAATATTTATCAGAATGCCTTAATAAATAGATTAAGGAGGGGATGGGGGTGAGTAATACCTAGAGAGATGTAGCCTACTTCTAGTTGTTTAGTCATATCGACCACTCTTGGACTTAAATAAAGAGGACCCTCTTTCAGCACCAATAACCGGTTTGTTAGAACAATTATACATGGTAGTTCAATCTCCACGTACGGCAATCATATTGTCAATAGGATGTATCAAACACCCCAGTATAGATCAACATGTGAGTCTGTTTACTGTAGGGCCTATATCATTGGCTCATCCTCGCTAATAACATCACCCAAACTGGGATGGGCTCATCGTGACAAACATCGACCGAGCCACTGATATAATATTAAATCATTATCCGACAAAGATATTCGAGGCTGAGCCGTTTTAATCCAGTCATTGATGAATTTTAAGAACAGCTATAAAAACTCTTCACACCAGTTTCTGTCAGTGTATGTAGCTGAATCTAGATCGATCTATATATAGATATTCGAAACAAGACATACTCGTGGAGTGTCGTTTTGAACTTTAGAAATATATATAGGCCAGGCCCCATGTATATCTTATTTTATGTATTTTAATAGTTATTATTACAAAACATATATCAACTGCACTATTATTTCTTGTACCGGTACATGACAAGAGTCAATTTTTTTTAAAAAGCCACAAAAAAACTGTTGGTAATTAATTATTTTGTTTGGTGTCGAACAAGGGTAAAGAAAGTCCTACTAGACAGATGTTATAAATTGAATTGGCCTCCTGGAGTGAACAAGTTTTTTTTTCTAAGCATTTAAAAATGGACAGAAAGATGGAATTGTTTGTAAGTGATGAAATTTAATCTGAACGGTAATAATTAATTTAAAAAATCTCCCCGGCTGGGAATCGAACCCCGGTCTCCCGCGTGACAGGCGGGTATACTATACTACCGAGGACCTGTAATAAGTGTATCACTACACTGAACTAATACCGCTGCTACGTTACGTTGAACTAGTTACTAGTTGGTATATATTGAACATCTTTGTCTTATCAATTAAGTTTGTTTTATAATTTTAATGTCACTATGCATCACAATGTTGTGTGGGCTTAATTTTGTCCTAAGAAAACAAAGTGGAACAATGACAGTGAAACAAAAATTCTATCCAGTTTTTGTTCACGCAAACTTTACATTACAAAACTGATGGGCGTCATAGTTTGCGTTACAAACACCTCACCTAAAATGTATGTAAAAAAGGGGGAGGGATGAGCATGTCAAAATGAATATCGTGGTCTCAGGTAGGAATAAATATTCATTAAAAGTCAAAACCTTTTATTAAACTTTTGGGGGATAGGGGAATGGGGTGTGTGACATGGGTGAGAATGTATACTATAGTTGTATGGATATAGTCACATATAGTGATAACCAATATTATGTAAAATTTGCAGTTGTTTTTTTTAATAGGCCAAATCAAAAAGACACTTACCATCCTGGATGAGAAAGAGTTCACAAGTTCTTTGTTGAAAAGCTTTCATCACATTTAGGCCATAGGAAAATTCTGACATGGCACAAATTTTACAGAAGAAATAACAATGTGATGAATAACAACAATTAGAGAAAACCGAAAATTAATATAATCATAATATAGGGATCTTTGATTCATCAATTCAACTCAAGTCCTCGGTAGTATAGTGGTAAGTATCCCTGCCTGTCATGCGGGAGACCGGGGTTCGATTCCCTGCGGGGAGATTTTAACAAATTTTCCTTCATTTATGTGTCATTCTCCTTTTAAGATTATTTGATTAAGGGGCGCCAAGATGGCTGAATAAAGAATAATATTTTTTACTTAATGTTTTATTTTCAATTTTATACCTTATTTGAACATGGTAGAAGTGTGACGCAGTTAATAAAGGTAAATACTAGCGCAAACAGTAGAAACTTAAAAGGAATACATAAGTTGTTACAATGGCAACAGTGAACAGATATTTTTCAACACCGCAACCGTTGTTTCAAACAGACAATATATGGCGGGCAATTGGAAAAGGTTTCCAAGAGACTGGAAAAGTGGTACATATGAACACAACAAGTCAAATTGTTATAAGAAAACTGAAAAACGTAATTGCCAAATTTGGAGTTCCTAAAGTTGCATAAGTGATCTAGGAGTTCCGTTGTCATCTGAGAAAATTAACATATTTATGGAATCATGGTAGTGTCCACACAAGGACATCATCAGTCAAACTGTAAACTAGAGGCAACAGTGAAAATATATTTTTTAAAAATTGACGAGAAAATGCAAAGAAAGTAAATCAGACGCTAAGCCCGTTAGAGTTAAGCAACACACTGAGGCAGGATGCTAAATTAAGTCCTGCTCAGATGTTATTTGAAATATAAGGACTATATTGCCAATCAAAGAACATCTGAAAGAATTTAAGACAAGAAGCTACAGTCAAACGAGACAGAATTCAGCAAAGTGTAAGACATTACAACATAACAGCTTGAGATTAGAGCTTTTTTAAACATTTTACCATAAGCAAGTAAATCCAAGAACATACAAGGTCAAAAGGGTGTAAAATATCAAAGAAGTAGAACACATGTCAGACCAGACATTTTTCCAGACAGAGAAAGTTTATAGCTCAAAAACTACAAAAGATGCTGAAAATTTGATGTCACTATACTTGGCATGGTCAAGTTCATGTACAAAAAGGTTATTTATTATCTCTGAAAGCTAATTTTAATTTTTTCAATTATATATGTAAGCCGTTTTTTCCCATACAAATACATCAGTTCAAAAATTATGTAGACATTTCTATTTATCCCTGGAAGACCCACATTATCTTACAGTGGTTCTAAAATTATTTCCTTTGGTATACATATATATAATATGTTGATAATTCAATATCAACATTAATTTTTAACGTCACATGACTTTTTCAATTTGTTCCACGGGTGACCCACTGGGTTATGTTGGTATTAATTATTATATTTTCATGAAAATAAAAAAATATATTTAGAATGTTCAAAAATTTTATTTAAGAAACATGAAAACTTCTAAAACAATTTCTTTGCTCTGTATAACACAGATATACTTTGCACTTCTCAACAATGTTGTTTGTCTTCATGCTACACAACTTGTAGCACTGGCGATCTTCCATTTTTATTGGGAAGAGGAAAAAGCCATCGGTTCTGACTTCTGGTTCAGGCATAGGTCTCAAGGCAGATTTCTTTCTTGATGGGCCTGCAGTTGCAACTTCTAAAGATGGTCTTCCTCGTTTTTTTTGTTTATGCGCATGTAAATTGATCAAAAGGGATGCCAGTTTTGTTTGGAAGTTGCGTTGGTTCAACACATCTTTTTTAGACATCCCTATGAGCTGACATGCCTGACGATAAGAGAGCCAAGCATTCACAAAAACAAACATCATCCGTATGGTCTGCCAAAATATGTACAAATACCAACGCTTTGATCTTATGTGAAATGAATGCTTGGCAATGAAACAGTTGTGAAGATCTACACCTCCCATGCTTTCATTATAAAGTTTTATCACAGCAGGCTGCTGGACCTGAACATAGGCTGACTTAGCTTTTTCAAATCTGTTGACAGTTTTGCTTGGTTCGACACCACTCAAAGTTGAGAGCATATTGACAGCTTTTGTGTCATACCAACGGACAGCTACTATGTTGGTAGACTTTTCAACACATTGATCCATTGTGCCACGACCTTTTTTCTTCATATTTTTCTCGGAATCAAGTAAAATGCCAGGAAGACGATTGGGTCTAACTGTGCCAGTAAAGTGAATGCCTTTTTTCTGCAGAACATCTAAGAGGCAAAGTTGTAAAGAAATTGTCCGCAAATATTTTGTAATTTAATGATGGCTTATCCGGCTCATTCTGTGGCAACGTAGAATTCAGCTGAAGTACTACATCAGGACCAACACCAATAGAATCAGCATCCCTTTTGCCTTGGTAAACATCAAAATAACATACCATACCTGCTGACGAGGTTCTAGCCCACACTTTTATTTCCCAAGGATGGGGCTTTCCCTTTATAAACTGCTTAAGCTTGCTGAACTTTCCTTTAAAGGGAATCATCATTTCGTCAATGCTGTTATTTTCATGAGCAATAACTTTTAAACAGTTATTTCTAAACAGTTTGAGCCAAGGGCGTATCTTCCAAAGCTTGTCCGATTTCTCTTCATTTGTAGCTAAATTGTTATTAACAAAGTGCAAATTTGAAAGGAGTGACTGAAACCTATTCCGACTCATTACTCCAGCAACTGGATCATAACGAGTGTCTGTATCCCAGTAACACCTAACACCGGGCATCTTGGCTAGGCCCATTCTCAGAAACATGCCTATGATTTGCTCTATTTCTATCTTATTGGTGTCAATACTTTTTCCACTCTTTTCAACACTGTACTCATTTGTAAATTTAACAATCAACTCTAGCATGTCATCTGTAAGAAAGTTTTTGAAATAAAGCATTGGTGACTGAACTTCATAGTTTTCAGGAAGCTCTAGAACTTTGCCCCAGAAAACTGAGACTGGTGGATTGAAATTATCTTTTGACCACTCATAGACTTTCTTTTTCTTATTCCTAGCAGAGGCACTAGAAGTAGATGGCAAGGGTTCTGTCACTTCTTCATCGGAAGAGGATTCAGAAGAACTGAGGTCTTGCGTTCCTGTTTCCTTATCATGTTCTGGTTCATAGTCCTCATCATCAGTTGAATCATTTTCCAAATCACTTTCATTGTAGTCAATGACTTCTAAAATATCTAGCACTTCTTGAGCAGTGAATTTCTTAGGGAGTGAAGCTGACGTATATTCTGATGAAAAAAAAATTGATCTACATCTAGATTAGACGACGTCTTAGACGTCACTAGAGATAGAATTTTTTTCCCCCTAAAGCCCCAATGATTTTAAAAATGTAATTAATACTAAACAGAGAACTAATTCGTATTAAATACTATATATAATCATTAAATACATTATTTAGATATATAATAATAAAAAAAAGATTGTGTCTTACCTTGTATAAAGCAGTAATTAAATATTTTTTTCAGTCGAAATCTGAGTTCCCAACTTCACATGGAGGTAGCCATATGCAAAAAGGATATTATTCAGTAATAAGAAAAATTTAACATAATAGCTGTTTCCCTTGTGTTCCATAGATGGGCCACTGGGTATTGATGGTAAAAATTACATAAAAAATGAAGTAGACATTTACTTAAACGTAGTTTTGTGTTATGGGTCACCCACTGGGTCTTCCAGGGTTAAAATAAAACAAGGGAGTCTATATTAAGGAGTTGATTATTTTGTATATTTTTATAATAGTTACAGAAACATGTAATAATTTCTGAAAATAAATGTATAGAAAATACATATTACTAAATGGCGTTTTTTTTTTTTTTTATTGTTTGAGAAACTAATACAGTTTACCAAATCTTTTTTTTTTCTTTTAAGAAATAATGCATTTGGAATGTACGTATTTATATTACATTTTTAACAACAAGAATTTATAGACAGTAGAATGTGTCTACTGTAGTTTCCTATATTAACCACAATAACGTAAAGTACTTCTAGTCTAGACTCTGGACACTTACATTTTATGAGATATGGCATTTAAAGTAAAGGAAGAGGTCACGCCGTCGACAGAAAGATGGTAAATGAATATCAGGTGTTTGTAAGTGATGAAATTTAATTGGTGATTACTACAAGTATGGAGAATGGTAATAATTTTAAAAAAAATCTCCCCGGCGTGGAACCGAACCCCGGTCTCCCGCGTGACAGGCGGGGATACTTACCACTATACTACCGAGGACCTGTAACATGTGTATTTATATACTAAACTGCTACCCCTGCTACGGTACCTTGAACTAGTTGGTACATCTTGAACATCTTTGTTGTATCTGTTTTATCATATTATGCTATATACACCCCTCCCTTTTATTAATTCATATCGGC